CCGAGTCCCCGGGACGTTTGGAATGATAGGACGAGTCTGTGAAGTTGAGGAATGATTGTTTGCTATCTTTATCCTTTTGAGACCCTTTTTAAAGCATTAATATGATATTGGACGCTATAACCCACGTTGCCCAGCATGAAATTGTGCAGCCTCCCTAAAACTGTGTTTTTGTATTTTCCATTTATTTATTTTCAGTTTTCGCACCAATAAAGGCATGGGTTACTCTGCACACTTTGTGGGTGGATGTTTGATAGTGACCTCATTAAAAACGAAGGGGAAAGGATTCCAGCACTGTGTAAAGTACGACTTCAAACCACAGAAGGTACGAAAGGAACACGACACGAAGCACAACACAGGTACTGGTTTGGTGAACGAGGCCAACCAAACATTCATGCACACAAAAAAGACAAAGCCTGGAAATGTCATTGTAGATGGTTCAATGTAATCATATGTCTGCACATACATAATCAATCACTTGCACACACACAATAAATCTGGACCTTGCTGTAAGAAAGAACTGTCGCCTCTTACCTGACTCTTGGGAGAAGCCAAACTAGAAGGAGGAGGAATGAGGGCAACGGGAGAGACGGATGATCCAATACTCCCAGTCCCTTCCAGGCACGGCACACACGGACGACCATTGCAGCGGACAATTTGAAACATCCTCCTCCTTCCCCTTGGGCATGAAGGCCCCACCTTACCTCAATAAACCTCATGAGGACCCAGAACTCATTTTAGCTGATTTTTCACTCTATTTTTAATGCCTTATTTCGTGTCCGGAAGAAACCATAATAACCTATTTCACTGTGGCAACATCGGTAACCTATTTTACTGGTTGTAAGGCTGAGGATGAAACCGGAAATCTAAGTAGGTGGGATCGTAGCTTGAGGGGAATCCTGAAACGTGATGGAAGCAGGCCAATTGACATGACATGCTGACTTATTGATATCTTGTGTGTGTGATTGATGCTCCACACATTCAGTAGGAGTTTGCCATTGTGAGAGTCTGCTTATTTTTGTTATTTTGCAGTGGTATATGGTGACTCTCGTTCACGTCTACAACCGCTGGAAAAACAGTGAGATTAGCTGCTATGTGAATGGCGAACTGGCTTCCTTTGGAGACATCGCCTGGTTTGTCAACACCAGTGACGTAAGTAGCGACAATTTCAAACATCATTTGCTATTTGCGAATCACCCAGTAGGGACCACCACAAGCTCACAAGATCTGAATACATTCTTACGAATAATATTTTAAAGGAGCAGTTTGACATTTTTCAAATGACTCCCATTTGCTATTCTTGGATGAGAAAATTGATACCGCTCCCGTGTCTGTCAAGGTTAATATTAAGCTGCAGCAGATTAGTTTACCAGCCTGAAGAGTGCAAACGGTGGAAGTCACTGCACCAAGAAACAGGCTCACACGCCCCCTTAAACCACAAGTTTGTGTTGTTTTTACTCTTACTTTACTCATTAAACAAACAAGATATGACATGGTGGTATCGTTCTTCTCGTCTAACACTTGGCAAGAAAGTCAATA